GAGTACCCGGGGAAAACCCCCACAGGCAGTGGGGGGCCATGCAACCTCCAACACAGGGAAGCCGCAGTCCGGAATCGAACTCTACGCTGTGAGGTCGACGCGCTAACCGGTCGAGCCAGTCGCGCCGCTTGACTAAGTTGATTGAAATTCAATAAAGCTTGAGCGATTGCCGAGGGGCGAACGCCACTTTTGTACACAGGTGATCGGGTTTCAGGGACGGTAACATGCTCGTCGGTCCCTTCATTTATGCTAGACCCCAATTTCCAACCGGCTACAAATGGATTGGTGACATCAGGAAGGTTAGCATTTGTGTGGGATTTCACCCAACTCCCACCAAGCGAATTCTCCACTGAAGGAGCCACGCAATGGACTCGATTTGAAGAATCGAATCAAATCGCGAGGCTCTTAACAATAAGCGGCCTCATTCACAACAAGTTAACAGCTAGCCAACGCTACGTGCTCACACGCTGACACCCACGTCACTCACCAGGCCAAACGAAAAATAATACCCGCACATGAATCTTTTGTACCGGTACTGCGCAAAAAGAATGTCTGTCATGACTCCGATAATACACGTTTACAATAACCTCGGCCCATATAAGAAGTCTTTCCAAGACAATGAGAAGGATGATCAAGACGGTGGGGAGACTCACAAAGCTTTACGTTGTGTATCTTTCATTCAAAAAAGAAACAGACTGGCTCCGTTGCAGATTTTTGTCTACCGCCGGGTTTCTGAAACTCACCTCGTCCCAATCAACCAGGGCCTTCTCCTTCTTTATTCATGTCTCGGTCTTTGAAGAGGGGAAAGCGTCCAAGCGCAAACTGGACATGGCCGACTACCCTGAGATGGCATCTAAGCGCTTTGCTGCCTTCCAGCCGTTTTGCGACGCCACGCTGCAGAAGTGGCACGACAAAACGCGTCTGAGCTCGGGCAAGGGCGGCGGCGGCAACTTCGGAGCGTTCGAGCGCAACATTGTGACCCAGGTGGCGCAGATTCTGATGGACAGGGAGCGGCTGGTGCGGCGCACGCAGACGAGGCGCTCCGAGTACCGCGTCCTCGGAACCAGCGAGGAGCAGGAGCTCGCCTGCGCCAACGCTGAGAACCAATCGGAGGAGACGCGCAAGGCGGATCATTTGGACTGGCCAGGTAGGTTTTTGTGGAATCGTCTTTTTTCATTCTTAACTCAGCTCAAGTGTATTTCTCGAGTACTTTCAAACAACCGCCGCTGTATAGACACTGTGCTGTAAATGGAACAAAAAGAATTCAGACAAAAAAGAACCCAACCAATTAAGACCAATGACAGTAAAATGCGCAGAAATAGTCCAACTAAAACTCAAGTCTCACGCTGAGTCCAAAGCCAAAGATTAAAAATGAGAAGCTTTAAAGATGGGCAGCGAGCAACTGTTGAAGATGACGTGAACGTTGCGGGTTCCGCAGCGGCCCCCGGAGGGAAGCCGGCAAACGACGCGGACGAGGACGTCTTTGACGACGACGACTTTTACCACCAGCTGCTGCGCGAGCTCATCGAGCGGAAGACGGGCGGCGCCGACGTCAACCGGCAGGTGGCGGCGGGGCGCCAGTGGCTGCAGATCCAGAAGCTACGCAGCAAGCTCAAGAAGAAGGTGGACACCAAGGCCAGCAAAGGTCGCAAGGTCAGGTTCGACGTGCACGCCAAGCTGCTCAACTTCATGGCGCCCGTCCTGCACGACCACGACGACCTGGCGCACGATGCCCGCACCGAACTCTACAGGGGGCTCTTTGGACTCCGCCCACCCGCCGTGTCATTGGCCACCTGTGATGTCACCGCCCAGTAACATTTGCGCCAAGCAATGGCTCGTTTTCATGCAACGTTGCCTTGAAACTATTAAGACCGTACCCTAATGTGTTGGAAATGGCCTCCCGATTGAATTCAAATCACATCACAATACTTGTGTGTCGGTTGGATTTCTATCACGATTATAGATTATATTGCAGTTTGCGATTCGATATCACGGCTTTTGGTATTTTTCCTCAGACAATGGGAACCCCGTACGTCACGCGACCGTGACGTCGGGGTCTCCTCCGCTACGGGTGGCCCACCAGCTCAAAAAAGGGAGGGGCTGTCAGTCAGGTCCAGTTCCTCTCATCACCTACGCAGTTTCACTGCATTTTTCTTCACCATACATTTCAAGGATGAAAGGTAAAGACCTAGTTGTTGGTGAAATACATAATGGAAATGCAGTCTGGATTTGACGTACCGATTTTTAGGTGGAACAAAGAAAAATGCCGAGAATGATGAGCGCGTTCATGACTGCGGCCGTGGGATGACTCTTTGACAGAATGTCATACAAAACATTTTCTTTTGACATAAAAGAAAGGTCGGGCAATTTAGGAAGCAATCAGTCATACAAACCTTCCCAGAGGGCACTCACAAATTTGCAGTCATAAACTGGATGTTTCCATGTCTTCACCAATTGCATCATTGCAAATTTCCCCAATGTGGGGCAAATAAAGGTTATCTTATCACCAAATTAACGGTTGTTGTGGTCCAAATGTAATTGGCTCCTTCAAAGCTCAGAAGATGGCTATACCCTATTAGGAATTTGTTCATGCATTTCCTTTGCTTTTGGGGATATTTAGACGCCAAACACGCCGTTCCTTCTTTCGAGAAGGACGGCTTCACGTTCCTACGAAACAAAGTCCTAGACATCGCGACAACAGATGGCGGCGTCGCTTGGATAAGCTTCTTCTCGTCCTGCTCGGCGCAGTCCAAGTGCCAGATGAACCGGAAGTAGTTGCGCCGCACGTGACCTAGCCGCCGCTCAGGTCCTCCGTGGCACGCGCGAGTCTTCGCCGCCTCTCCGCCGTCGCCCTTCGGCATTGGTGACGGTCGTCAAAATGAGTACGATGTTCGCGGACACCATCCTGATCGTCTTCATCTCCGTGTGCACGGCGCTGCTAGCCGAAGGTGAGCCGACAAAATCCCAAGTACGCTCGAGTACCGCTCGGGACTGCGCTGCTTTTTTTTCGAGGTTGCCGTACTGCGAACACGAACGCTGTCACGATGTGGGCAGGTGAGGCGATTATTACAAATGCGACTCCTAAACTAGCTGTAATGTGGCGACGGCCGACGGGGGTTAGCATCGAAATCGCTAATTCGCGGCGATCCGATTTCGAGAGGAACAAATCGGAGTCTACAAATTGTCATTCTCACAATATAGGCGCGTCACTAGAAGCCACGCAGGTCCGGAGCGCAAATTTGTGTGTGTGTGTGTGTATGTATATATATATATTGGGGGGGGGGGCGTGCAGAGGATGTAAATTTGGGTCCCAGCTCAAGGTTGGGGTTTTGTGATGAAGAAGAATCTCATGGGCATGAAAGAGTGTCATTGTTTCACGTTTGAGTCTCAAGTCTGGTTGAAGACAAATTCGCCCAAATTTGTCTTCAACCAGACTTGAGATCCGCCAGGACTTTTGAGTGTGGCTTTCAGGAAAAGTTTTCGGCTTTGGGATTTGAAAGCAAGGTTCGGCTTTTAAGACAGACTGTAGGTTTCAAAATGGGCTGCGGGGTCCAATGTGTGTTTTCAAACAATCTTAGCGTTCTGGCAGGCGTTGGGTTTTCAGGGCTTGACGAAAAGTTGAGGCTTTCAAGAGAAGGCTTTCAAATGTGGGATTTTTCAACATTGGCTTGAAATAAGGTTTTAATCCGGGAGGAGGTTTTGAAAGACAGCCAGCTCGTTTTGCCCTTATATTTTGGGCCTTTTCCCTTCATGCACTTGCTGAAGTACGTCAGCGGTCGTGGACGGCGCCGTCTCTTCCGCCGACATGACTGCAAAGCCGGCGTACCTTCCTCCCATGCTTTTGAAAAGCGTTGACGTTGTCAGACGCTGCCTTGTGATTGGACAGGAATCACGTGGGTGCTGGTGTACCGCACGGACAAGTACAAGCGGCTCAAGGCGGAGGTGGAAAAGCAAAGCAAGAAACGTACGCTCCGCAACAAAAGATCATCGCAATTAGCGTTTTGTGGTTTGGTTTTTTGGTGTTTGGCCGACCTTGTCATCGTTGTGTGTTTGCCGTAGTGGAGAAACAAAAGGAAACCATCACAGAATCCGCTGGACGTCAGCAGAAGAAGAAGATTGGTAAGTTTTTATTTTGGTTGGTGTTCCCCCCCCCCATGCAGGGCCCTCAGCGATGAGGATGTTCATGATGACGAGCTCATGTGCTGATGTTTTGCAGAAAGACAAGAGGAGAAGCTCAAGAACAACAACAGAGACTTGTCCATGGTCGGAGACGTCACCCGGCATCGTTGGCGCCGCCGTTCTTGCGATCCTCGTGGTCACCGTGTGTCGAATTGACGTTGCTGTGTTTTGTTTGCAGGTGCGCATGAAGTCCATGTTTGCCATCGGCTTCTGTTTCACCGCTTTGATGGGCATGTTCAACTCCATGTAAGCATCTGACTCTCGCGTGCCGCGCATCATTCATACATGACAACAATGACTTGAGGACGTTGCGCCCCCCTGAGAAAGCAACGATGCGTCTGTTGAAATCAGCCCATTGGTGTCTTTTTTCCATCGACTTGCACTTTGCTGAAAGGCGAAAGATTGAAGCTGAGCATCTGAGGGCATGTTCAACTCCATGTAAGCATCTGACTCTCGCGTGCCGCGCATCATTCATGCATGACAACAATGACTTGAGGACGTTGCGCCCCCCTGAGAAAGCAACGATGCGTCTGTTGAAATCAGCCCATCGGTGTCTTTTTTTCCATCGACTTGCACTTTGCTGAAAGGCAAAAAATTGAAGCTGAGCATCTGGCTTTCCCCCTTTGCAGTTTTGACGGCCGCGTGGTGGCCAAGCTGCCCTTCGTGCCGCTGTCGTACATCCAGGGCTTGTCGCACCGCAACCTGCTGGGCGAAGACTACACCGACTGCTCCTTCATCTTCCTCTACATTCTCTGCACCATGTCCATCCGACAGGTATCCGTCCGTCCGTCCGTCCGACACGTGTGCCGACCTTGACGCAAGAGTGCCGCTGCGCGGCCATTTTGAACACGAACTCAGCGCACTCCCAGAGTTGCGCCTCTAGTTTGATCTATTTTTTAAAAATACAAAGGTCACTTAAAATGGTGGTGGATTTGGGGGGGCTGGAACAAATGAACGCCCGTTTCAAGTCATTTACAATTTCATGAGGAAACTTTTTTCTTTTTCTCCTTCAAGTAAATTGAGTTACAAATGTCGAGTCAGGGAGGGGTGAGAATCCTTTTGTATTTTTCTTGGTAGTTGGTTTTTATTTTCAGTCGGTTATCTCTCAGGCGTCGTCAAATTGGATGGATCAATGAAAAGTGCTTGTGCTGTCTTTACATCCCTTCCGGGTGAGTGTCATGACTTTGGAGTCAGCCGATCCTCCATGAAGCATCTCCAGTTGGTCCAGAATGCCGCCGCTCGCCTCTTGACTGGTGCTCCTAAGAGGGAGCGCATCACTCCTACTCTGGCGCCCCTTCACTGGCGACATTTTGGGATTCCTTTTGAAGCTTCTCTAATTTGTTTTCAAATCTCGAATCGGCCTGGCCCCACCCTGAGCTCCCCGCCTGCTGCCTCTCAGGTCTGCGGACCCGACACGAGTCGAGGTGCCGACAGAGAACTAAGCGGCGGCTCGGAGGGGACCGAGCCCTTTGCGTTGCCGCTCCCTCTCTGGAATGAACGTTGGGCAAGCCCCCTCGCCGCCCATCTTTCAAACTTGGCATTTTCATTCTTTGGCTGAGACTTGATTTTTAGTTGGAGGGTTTTTGTGCTCTCTATGGTCTTTGTCGGTCACTTCTTGTTTTATTGTTGGTTGCTGTACGAATTCTTTTTGCTCCATGTACAGCACTTGGTAGACAGCGGTGATTGTTTGAAAGAGCTCGAGAACCCCCCGCCTCCCACACACACACACACACACACACACACACACACACACACACTTGAAATCAACTCCAAAAGCTCTTGTATGAAATCAAGTTTTGGACCAAGACGACATTTTCCTCAAGTTATAGTCAATTAATCATTTGTTTTGTAAGTGTGAAATGTCGTTTCTGTGAGTTACTTTCTTGTTTTTTCAATCGGACTTTTTATTCGATTTCCTAAATGAAAATGTTTTGGTTTTCCTTTGGGTTATTTTTTTTTGTTTTTGTCAACTCCAATAAGCTTGCTTGCAGGCTGATGTAGCGCTCGTGTTCTTCTGCGCAGAACATCCAGAAGATGTTGGGCCTGGCTCCGTCCAGAGCGGCCACCAAGCAGGCGGGGGGCTTCCTGGGGCCCCCGCCCCAAGCCGCCAAGTTCTCCTAAATGCCTCCAAAGGTCATGACAACGCCGTTGGCCCGCAAAAGACTTTGAGCGGTGAAAATGGTTGTTTGGGTGTTTTGAGTACCCAAAGGCGTTTCTTCGCTTTCAATAAAAGTGTTCTCAAAGGCGACCTTTTCGTTATTGCTGCCTCGACGCGACTTAACGCGGTTGGGGAGATACACGTCGGTGTTGGGACGGTTTTCATTTGCCAGAGTATTTTCTGTGGTGCGAGCAGTGGACTGTGGACTGCGGCGAACTCGACTGGGCTCACTTGACAACAAGTGACGGTTTGCCAGAAAGTGAACCCTTGGGCCACAAAGAGGCTGCCTTCGAGCCCCCGGCTCAACGTGATTCAAAACCTCAACAGAGGACGAAGACTCCTGCACCGTTTAGTGCATTTCCACCAACCGCATCACTGTGCTCTCACGTCTGCGAGCTCGATGCTAACATATCATGAGAAATACCATAGACGGGCTAAGAAGTAGCATCACCCGAGAATTTCATTGCTCAAATTTGTTGTCAATATTAGTAATGCTTTTCAGGGGGCCGCTAAGCAGCGGTACAAAGCACTTCGCAATTTTCGCTTCTAGCGTATTGGCACTTTTTATAGCGCACCGCGACTCCACGTGAGCCCACAGCACCCTCTTCTTCAAATGTCTCTTGGATTTTATAATACTCACGACTTATTCGGTAATTCAGGTACCTCCCCCCAAAAAATAAAAGGTTAATTTCTGCTCACGTAACAGTTTACTTGGCAAGCTGCAAACATACTCGAGACATAAAGGGGTCTTTCCAGAATTGGAGGACATTTTGACTGCAAAATGTCCTCTAATTGCCCCACGGGGATAAATAAAGTTTTCTGAATCTGAAAATACTTGAAAAAGAAATCTTCACTTGAATGATTTACTGCTGCATATTCACCAATAATGGGTAGTAAACGATCAAAAGCTCATCTTAGCTCAATGGTACGATTTATTTG